GAAATCATCTATCTCATGCGAGCCTAGGTCTACGACTTCTCCCCTTTCGGTTCTAAAAGTCGCTAATTCAATTAGAAGGTGTTTAATCAACTAATCATATGGAATCAACAAATCCTAACTCGACAAATCAATATTCAATCGTTACCAATTGCAAGATCGAAGTGTCACCTTCGATTATATCAAACTATCAAGCACAAATTCATCAATTCCTAATCAATTCAACTCACATAAGCATGAACAATCTTGAGCCCGACAAATGCACGTTAAACAAGAATAATCATCCCCTATCCCTATCAATTAGACTTAGCTACGAATATCAAATTCAACAATCATAATCATTTCTCTCAAATAACCATTATTCATGAATCAAATAAGAGAAATGAGTACTTACAATCAATCCAAGTTCCAAAGTTGAATTCGAAATACAAGCTTAATCCTTAGATGTAGAGAAGAAGAAGAAAAATGGAAAATAAAGGTGTAAAGAAAAGGAAAAACAAAGAAGAAGAAGCAGAGAAAGGAGTTCTGTCGTGGAGTTATCGGGCCGAGGGTTTTTACTCCCAGGAGCGGAGATGTGTCCTTTAGATTTTTCCCGATCATATATATATATAGCAGCAGGGACTAGCGGGCACTCCACGGCACCACGGTGCGACGAGCTTCTTCTCCGCGGCGCGAGCAGCCAACACGGCACGGCAAGATTCTTCTCCGCGACGCGATGGAGTCTTCACGGCGTGGCAATCTTGGGAAGGGCGGTCTCTATCCAGGTCGCGGCAGCAGCACGGCGTGGAGATGCTGGGCGCCACGGCGCGGTGGGTGGCTGTGCAGCGGCGCGGCATGTCCTTCACAGCGCGGTGGGAGAGGCAACATCTTCTGAAGGCCCATGACGGGTGCCACGGCGCGGCATGGAGGCCCGGCAGTCTGGGAGCTCGTGTCCGATTGCAACACTTCGCGTTTTGTGTTCGTTTGCGCTCGTTTGATATCGAAATCCGAATCCGTTTTCTTCTTTGTGTTGTCGACGAAACGCTCTACTCAGCTAAATTCTCCCGGTTCCATTATTATGAAAAATATATCCTCCCGAACCTTCCATCCTACACACCAAAGGCGAAAAGAAAAACGAAGAAAACCGGAAAAATACACGAATAACACAGAAATACTCACAAAGACGCGAAACATGAAATAAACGACAAAACGACTCTAAAACCACATAAATGACTCAAAATGGGGGAAAAAGAAAGAGAAAATAGACACGAATAACGTAACAAAAATGGGACAAACAACTCCCCCACACTTAAACCTTTGTTCGTACTCTGGGGTCGACTTGTTCATACTCATGTCGACTCCTCATACCTCGAGACGTGAGACACACTGACGACTCCACACACTTGATACATTTCTTGGAACCTCTTGTCCTCCAATGGATAAGAAGGAATTTTTTCATGACTCAGCAAGGAGGGAAGACGAATCGACCGGGGCAATTTAGACCTTTTAGGTCCACCGACTGGGGCATTTCGGGGACTTCAAGTAAGTGTTCACTCCTATATAAAGGAGGTGGGGTAACCCTAAACCCTAACTCCCATTCATTACATACTCTCCCTCATAGCTGCTGCGCAGCCTCTCTTCATCTCTCTCATATACTGACTTGAGCGTCGGAGGGTCTACGCTGGAAATACCTCCGGCATTGAGTTTTTGCAGGTGTTCTCGCGGTCTAGCAGCGGTTTGAAGGCGATTCAAACAGATCTGAGCTCTTTACCACCGGTTCAATCCAGATCTGAGAGTAGACCCATCATCACCGGTATCTTGGGATTTCTTAAAAGGCCACGCCGATTTCTTTAAAGCTTTGTGGATGAAGTTATGATCTCTCCCTCAAAACTAAGTGTCTGAAGCAGGATGCAGCTATCCACCTACATCCTATGGTGGATTTGGAAGACACGCAACCTGTGGGTCTTTGAAAGGCTCTAAGGCCTGAAAAAGCTACAGTGGATATAGCTTGGAGGGATTGGACATAATTTGCTAGTCTATACTAGTTCTAGTTATTGTTTTCTTTCTTTATTTCCTTTCTATTGTTATTTCCTTGTCTTAGGTTTTGTTAACAAACTAGGCCCCTTAGGTACAGTGGTTTATTAATTTTGAGTAGTTTGTTCTTTTACTTTGTAGCAGGTTCTCTTTGTGCATTGAGGTTTGGATCTTATCACCGGTTTTCAGAGCCCCTGCATCTGTCGGGGAAAGATCCAAATTCTTTCTGGGATATAGGATGTGGTTCTTCCTCTGTATTTTTCTTATATGACCCAATTGTCCTCCCAGACGCTGTATTGTGGGTTTGAGCTCTTTAATCATGTCGTTTTGTTAGAAAAACAAAAAAAAAAAAAAAAAAAAAAAAAAAAAAAAAAGAGATACGGTTGGTATCTAAAAGTACCCCCAACTGCATATTTCCACCTAAAAACAACATCAAAGGCCTCGTTTACTTATCAAGATTGGATGTGATACCGACCTTAACTAACTTTATCCTGCGTTTACTATACATAATTGGAACTAGGATTTAGCCCATGTGGCATGTATGTGGCAGGTGGGTCCCACCCGGAGATGCATATGTGGCTGGATAATTCAATCCCATCAAATAGATGGGGTATTTTTCTTCCATTTTTTCCCAAAAAAATAATATTATTTAATTTAAATAATTTTATTTAAGTTAAAATAATATAATTTATTTTAAAAATATTAATTTAATAAATATTAATTCATTTAAATAACTCATGCCCATCACTGGTCGACTGCTTCCTCCCTTGAGGGATCAGGCAAAAGATGAATTCTTTTTGGTTAGCAACCTATGTTGGGCTGACTAAACCCACTATCCTAATAGGGTCCCATCTTGTGTCGGCTTAAACATGTTGGGTTAAGGGTTTAGTTGAACCAATTTCTGAACTGTAGTCTAGGCTTTAGTTCCCTCTCACAACTCACAAGAGCGTCCGAGGTTGCGTTTTCTCGATTATCTCAGTTTCTCGTCTATTCAAGAGGAGCGTGCAGATACAACTACCCAGCACAACACTTACTGTTTTCAAAAGTTTTCAAAAGAAGAACAGGTGGGGACCCAGCCTGTGTATTACATTGTTTATAATCTTGTACCATGTATGAGGTATGTATGTGGATATTTACCCGAACGGTCGAGTTATTCTGTTCTTGGTCCAGTTAAGATGAATTTATGATCACCCGGTCTTGTATGGAAGGTTTTCCCATCCTGGGTTTCTAGGGAGGCGACCCCTAGAGTGTGATGTTGCATCAAAAAAGTAAATTTTTATTTATGTATATACTTAGTTCATGATATTGGATTACATGTGTTGTATATTCAGTATAGGTTTTTATGGAGTACAAGAGGATCAGTACTCACCCCCATTACATTTTTCAGGTAACAATGTCGGTGCAGAGGTGTGAGCTGAGCAGTGGTGGTGGGGTCGTGGATTCAGAATATTATTATTACGAGCACATTTATTTATACTGTCTATATAATATGATGTTACGTTTTTTCAGATTTTCGCTACGCATTTCAAGTTTCGAACCTGCATGTTTAGTATTTTCAGACTTACAGATTTTAACAAGTTCATCAGTATGAACAGGGTCCAGTTTACATGCATGTTTGATTAAATCTGTTTTCTTTATGTCTAAAATAATAGTTAATCCAAGTTTAAAGAAAAACGGATTTTCAGAAAAGATAAGTTTGAGTAGCATCCCGAGTTAAGTTTAAGAGTTCGGTGAAATTTATAATTACTGTCGAAGTAAAAGTTACGGAAAATTTACCCTGATAAGCGGGGCGTTACAGACGCTAACAGAATTTGAACAATATTTGGGCTAAAATAAACACTGTAATTTTGAAAACAAAGGCATTTCAATATCTATCGTTCTTACTTTGATAAAAGAATTATAATCAATGTATAATTATTATGCAGAAATGAATATAAATGAAAAGAACAAAATTTTAAACGTAACGTCATAATTATTATTTTTTTTAAAGACGCCTGAAAAGATCTCATAGCACAACATAAAGAGTTTTACCTTTGGGGAATCAACTGATCTCATACAATAAACAGACACAAGAGGAACATACCAATGGTGCCATAAAGAACCAGAAAAAATACCAGACACACCCTGCCAACAAGAAGCAAGATAGTCCAAAAATACACCAGAATTAATATAAACAATAAATCAGAACAAAGTCATATATATCTTCAAATATAATAACTAGTCTAATATAGCTAGGTAGAGCGGTCACGTGAGTCGACGATACCTCTGTTGGGATCTATGAGGATCTCGTTATGTACAAGTCACGAATCAATAGCAAACGTAAACCTATGCGCAGTGGATCTAAAGGTTTGACGTAGAAAATTTACGGCTAAAAAATTTATGAATCTGTCGGATTCGGGATGACCGAGAACAGCATGTCAGATGATTGTCCGGATCACAAACAGATGGTGGGGATCGGCTTGCGTCGAGTTGGCGTGCAATCGGGTGGCCGCCGGTCGTGTCGCGCTTGGTGGTCGGTCGCGACGGTCTTCCGGCGGGCTGGGGTTGGCAGATCTCGGCCTTCAGGTCGAGGTTCGTTGGCTCGGCTAGATGATCATGTTTACCTTCGGGATCTTCTACTGTATCACTCTTACACCTCTTCAACTTGTATTGATGGAGCAACAAGAAGAAGATAAAGCTCGAATGAGGTCTAGAGAGAGAAGAGAGAGGGAGACGGCGTGCATGTCCATATCTCCACTTCTATTCTCTTCTCATGGGCTTAATGTTGTATATATAGAGCTACAGTAGGGATCCTTAGGAGAATATGAATAGGGTTTCTTAAGTAATGGACTACCTGTGGGCTAGGCTCACTCCTCCAATTACTTAAATAATATTACGGTCCACTAACATAATATTATTGCACTCCCCTTTCCTAGCCCAAATTACATTTGAGACTGCAATAATAATTACCCGAATTACCTCCTCATGTTTAAGATATAATGTCCATTAATTAATTCGATTACTGACAATCAAGGATTAATTAATATAATATATTACCAAAGCTAGCGCTCGTTCATTACATTATTATTATGCTGGAATTTAATCCACCTGTAGGGTTTAGCATAACAATCCTTCATGAACTCACTTCAGAGACATAATCAAACTAATGCACATGGAGACCGTAAATATCCTAACAGCACATCATACGTACAACAATTATTACCCAAGACAGTAGTAATATTAGTCCGGAGGGCTGGGGTCGGCGGATCCAAGTTGAATAGAAAAACTTACGATTAAAACGGAATTGAAAGTTGAATCCGAGATACAAGATTAATCCGAGAAAATTGAGAAGAAATTCAAAAAGAAAATCAAGATATAAGTTTGTGTTCTAGGGTAGGAGAATGGGAAAAACGAGTTTTTTGGGGCCCCTTCAGGGCTGGGGGTCATCCAAATATATAGGGATAAAAAAATCGAGAAAAAACGAGAAAAAATAGAAACAGGGCCCGTCGATGTCGCGAGTCGCGAGCTGCACCAAAAGCTCTGTTAAAGTCGCGGGTCGCGGCTTGGGCTGCAATGCATGACTTTACATTTTGGGCTCGTTTGGGCTCATCCGAACTCGGAATTGAGTTCTGTTTTTTGCTAAGCGTCGCCAACAAACCCTAATATTAAATTATATTTTCTTGACCAATTTTTTCCCAAAATCCTGTCCTCCCGAAGCTTTTGACCTACACACCATAACGAAGAAAAATAAAAAAATACACGAAAAATACATAGAAAACCAAAATAGAGCAAAACACACAACAAACTATAAAAACAAATAAAAACCAACGAAAAGACCTAAAACAGGGAGAAAGGAATGATAAACAATAACGAAAAACACAACAAAAATGGGACGTACAACTCCCCCACACTTAAGCCTTTGTTCGTCCCGAACAAAAAGAAAAGAAAACACGACGCGAGCATGGATATGGTTTCAAATAAGAAGAGTCTCAAAATGCCTAACTCAATCGGGTCGAATTCCAACGACCGTACGACCATATGCCTCAAATATCAACTTGGCCTTGAAATGACAAGCTCTCAAACAAATGAATAACATTATATGCCTCACTCATTATCTTACATGAATATGTGATAGGTTCGCTCAGATTGGTCGATATTCAAGTTTCAACATATGCTTGCCAATCGTCCAAATTACTCGGAAACAATCAAAGCTAAAGGCTTGCGAATCAAGAGGATTTCACAGTTGTAATGCGGGTTTAAGGTAAAGGCAAGGATATATATGTGACAAGAAGCTCAACTAAACAATCGAAGTTTTTGAGTAAGAGACTACTCGAATGTCCGCTACTCATCCAAACCAACAAGATAGCACAAATACCATCCACAAACAACTGAACAAACAATCAAAGTTATTGTTTTGTCGTTCTTTTTCTCCCGTTTTAGGTCTTTTTGTTGGTTTTTATTCATTCTTGTAGTTTATTGTGTGTTTTTCTCTATTTTGGTTTTCTATGTGTTTTTCTTGGGATTTTTCAATTTTTCTTCGTTTATATTGTGTGGGTTGGAAGTTTTGGGAGGCAAAAATTGTCCGAGAAAGCATAATGGAACAGAAGGGTTCGTTGGCGATGCATAGCAGAAAACGAAACTCAATTCTGTGTTTGGACGAGCCCAAATGAGCCCGAAACGTAAAGTCATGCAGTGCAGCCCAAGCCGCGACCCGTGACTTCTGGTCACGACTAGCAAGCACCAAGGCGCGAGCCGCGACTTTAACAGAGCCTTCGGTGCCGCTCGCGGCGCCAGGTCGCAACTCACGATTTCGACAGGCCCTGTTTCTATTTTTTCTTATTTTTGCTTGATTTTTTGAGCCCTACCTAAAAACTCGTTTTTACCCCATCTCCTACCCTAGAACACAAACTTGGATCTTGATTTTCTTCTTGAATTTCTTCTCAATTTTCTCGGATTAATCTTGTATCCCGGATTCAACTTTCAATTCCGTTTTAATCGTAAGTTTTTCTATTCATTATCCATGAATAGGATGCTTTGACTGTTGTGATTGATTTCGTTGAATTCCGTATGAGAAGCTAATTCGAATTGCTAGGGAATAGGGGATGATGTTTTGATTTCGTTTGTGAATATCGTGCTCGTTGATTGTAACGCCCCAAATCAGTAATAATATTAAGAACGGTTTCACTGCTCGACTATAAGTGATATCCGTATTTTCAGAAAATTCTGAGTTTTATTTTATATGTTAAATGCTCACAAAGATAGATTATTCTTTGGAATATTTCTATATTAAGTATAAGTTAAGATTAATCCATTAATTTGGATTGTTAAATAATAGCAAGTCAATATTCGAGAAATTATCGGCTTTGAACCCTAGTTTGGTTCCGATTATTTTTCAAGTTAATTCTTGAGCATAGCCAAGTCTTGGTATTTTATGTTTAGAATAATTTTCTAAGTCTTCGAATATCAAGAAGAAAGTCTCGGACATTTTATGACCGAAACCCTAATGCCTAATCGTGCTCACCCGAGCCGCTCGTGCTTGTCCCGAGCCCCACGCCCTTAGTCGCGCCCAAGCGGGTGTTAGCCAAGCCCAAGGCCATGTCCTAAGCCTTAGCATCACTTTGCAAATTTTTCCAAGTGTTGAGACCCTTACCTAAGCCCTATACTCAGCCCAAGGCCACTAGCACACGTGCAGCCCACCTTCCC